CACACAGTTACTCAAGCACACACTCACTCACACTCACGCACTCACCCACTCATTCTCTCACTCACACGCACGCACACATACCTAAACATAAAGACGAATAAAAAGATAAAAATGATTGTCTAAATTAGGCATTATGTTACCACGGGGAGACAGTACCGCCGCCGCTTGTTCCGTTGGTGAAACTTTATTTATAATTCCCGTGATTGTGTGAGCTTCTAATATAGGATTCGTTGTGTGATTTGGTCGTTTTATTTTCAAAAATGGAAGGCTTAAATATGGAGAAAAGTGAGAGAGAGAAAGAAAGGGAAATGAGAGAATGATAAGATAAGAGAGTGGGAGAGATTTTGTGCAAGAGAGAGAGAGGGAGGATGAGAGAAATAGAGAGAGAGAATAGATAGAAGAGGAGAGAGAGAGAGAGAGAGAGAGAGAGAGAGAGAGAGAGAGAGAGAGAGAGAAAGAGAAGAGAGAGAAGAGAGAGAAAGAGAGACCAAGCTTCACCCAGAAAACAAATAAGCATAACCCCCTCAAAGAGAAGAATTAAACCGATCACTCAATTTGTCCCAGCCAAACCCCCTCCCCCCCTCCCCTCCTCCCTCCCCTACCCCCGAGACGGCTCTACCCCGTCCGCGCTTTGCCTCTCAGTGATACCCAAACACGGGAGGAACCACACGCGCGCCGCCTTCCCGTGAGCGAGCGAGGGGCAGCACCGAAGGATCTAAGCGGGCGGGACTCGAGGCTCTGAAGGTTCGTAGGCAGGGACTCAGCGGCGAGGGGGGGGGGGCGCTCCAGGGACTATGTGTGTGTGTGTGTAGATATATGTATATGTATATATATACTTACATATACATATGTATTGTGCATCTGTTGTATAGTGTATATCGTGTATATCTTTATGTATTCTACTCTCTCTCTCTGTATGTATATATTCATGTATATATATGATACACACACACACACCGACACACACACACACACAACACACACACACACACACACACACACACACACACACACACACACACACACCACACACACACATATATATATATATATATATATATATATATATATATATATATATATATATATATATATATATAATATATATATCCTCATCTGCTCCTCAAGTGTCTGTTTACGGCGCAGCGTGGATGGCCAAAGCGCAGGCCACCTTAAGGGCTGAAGCGAACCCGACCAGGTTGTGCATTAAGGAAACCATTTATTAGCGTAGAAACGACATATATATGTACACGCATGTATGTATTAGTGTATAATATATGTTATATATATATATATATATATATATATATATATATTTATTTAGTTTATTTATTTATTTATTCATTTATATGTATTACACATTCACATGTGTATTGTGTATGTGTAAGCGTATGTGTGTATCTTTATCACTTCCTCTCCACACATGTGTGTGTGTATACAACACACACAACACACACACAGCACACACTCTACAATATTATTATATAATATTATATTATTATACTATGTATAGCAGACATATGTATGATACACGAGATAAGTATGCATAAAAGTACTCAACCATTACTCATCACACACACAACAACACACACATCACACACAACACACACACACTTATATGATAGTATTATTAAAATATATATTATAAATATATTAGTATATATATGTATATAATATTATGTATATTATATATATATATATTCATATATATTAGTATATTATATGTATAATTATATATGTGGTGTGTGTTGTGGTCGTGTGTATTATATAGTATATATATATAATATATAAATTATATATATATAGTAATATATATATCGTAGGTATATTATACACACATACAATGATATATATATTTATGGTATTATATATATACTATATATATATTATATATTATATGTATATATTGTTTATAAATTATAGTATAATTGTATATATACATAATTTATATACTTACATACAATATATATACTGACATACAAAGTATATATTTATAAAGTATTTATATATATATTATATATATCACTATATAATGTAACATATATTATATGATGTAAGTAGTACCACACACATCACACACATCACACACACACGATCACATCAGAATGCACACATGTCGAGGGTAATTATCGACACAATTCACTCACCACGACATCACTGGCACACACACTAGATTCACATATATATATATATATAGTATCATTATCATTATTAAGTATATCCCGTAACATGTTGTGTGTGTGGTGTATATATTATATATAGTAGTATTATTAATATAATATATATATACTTTATAACATATATAGTGGTCATAAATATAAGTATAATATATATATATATATATATAATATATTAATATATATATATAGTGTAGTATAGTCGTGATACGTATGGTATATTCATATAAATACATGTTGTGTATGTATGTATGTATGTATATATATAAGTTATAGAATATATATAGTAACTAGTTATATTATTATATATTATATAATACATA